AACCAGGTGTGGTAGCGCGTGCCTGTAGTTCCAGCTACTTGGAAGGCTGAGGTGGAAGGATCGCCGGAGCCCAGCAGGTCGAGGCTGCAGTGGCCGGCAACGGCCACTGCACTCCAGTCTGGGTGACAGTGAGGCTCCAACTCAAAAAAAAAAAAATTAAATATTGTCTCAAAACAAATAGGCCCTTGCCTTCCTGAAAGAAACTGAAAATTGGCAAATACTTATGGTTTTTTTCTAACATTTAACACAGCAAGATTATTTAGAGCAGATTCTGCAGTCTGCAAACGCCATGTACATTAACGTGCTCTGGTGGGGTCATGTTTTGGCTCTGCAAATTATTAGCTGAGTGAGTCTGAGCAAATCATTTCACCTCTGTGAACCTACACCTTCACTCACAAAAGGGCCCTATCTCTGGACACCAAGGGTCCCGTGGCAGAATCCACAGACACACATACACACACACATTTTCCCCACTCCTGGCAAACAGTACCATCACAGTGGCTGAAGTAACTCTCCCAACACAAGCCAGAACATGGACGGTGCAGAGCACAGGCCACTGGCAGGCACATACTCTTACACACGCAAACACACACCCCATCTCTCGCAAGGATCCTGCAGGATTGATGTTCAAATGCTCAAGATTCATTTCTAAAAAGCGAACTAACGTAATTTTTGCAAATGCATCAACCACATAACAGCTGAATTGGCACAGCTGTGCTTCCTGCATCCTGTTTCCCTCCCAGACACACATGATCCATCAGTCCCAATAGCCGAAAAAGCCTCAGGTCCTACCTGAAAATTGGCTACAATGCCCATTCCGATACAGCCCATCAAGCCAAGGACTAAGGACACCAAGTTGAAAACAGGAGTGCTGAAATAGCTGGTTTGATTTTGCTTCTCAACTATTTTATATCTTGTGTACATCGTGGCTGCGCCTGAAAAAGAAAGGAATTTTGATGAATTATCGTTATTAGAACAAAAATCACAGAAGTAGTTTTGTATCACTTTTTTAAAATGTGCCACCATGCCCGGCTTATTTTTTGATTTATTGTAGAGATAAGTTCTCACCATGTTGCCCAGACTGGTCTCCAACTCGCAGGCCTAGGCGAACCTCTCGCCCCAGCATCCCAAAGTGCTGGGATTATAGGTATGAGCCGCTGAGCCCGGCTCATTGGAGCATTATTTGTAACAGGGAAAACATGGCTCACACCTGTAATTCCAGCCCTTGGGGAGGCTGAGGCAGGAGGATTGCTTGAGGCCAGGAATTCAACATCAGTCTGAGCAACATAGCGAGACCTCATCTCTACAAAAAAAAATTTAAAAAATTAACTGGGTGCTGTGGTACGCCCCTGTAGTCCCAGCTACTCAGGAGACTGAGGAGGAAAGATCGTCTGAACCCAAGAAGACAAAGCTGCAATGAGTCATGATGGTACCACTGCACTCCAGCCTGGGTGACAGCGCAAGTCCCTGACTCAAAAAAATAATAATTAAAAAATAAAATACTAGACGGGCACAGTGGCTCACACCTGTAACCCCAGCACTTTGGGAGGCCGAGGTGAGAGGACTGCCTGAGCCTACGGGTTTGAGACTACCCTGGTCAACTTGGCAAGACCTCAACTCTACAATAAATCAAAAAAAAGTAGCCGGGTAAGGTGATATGTGCCTATAGTTCCAGCTACTTAGAAGACTGAGGCAGAAGGATCACCTGAGCCCAGCAAGTCGAGGCTGCAGTGACTGTAAGCATGCCACTGCACTCCAGCCTGGGTGGTAGAGTGAGACTCCAACTCAAAAAAATAAATACAATACAATACAACACAAAGTAAAATAAAGTGTCCCAGATTACAAGTCTTCCCCGTTTGCCCACCCTTTCCTTCCCCACTCCAGCTTACTCTCCCACCAGTGTGATAGACACACACACACACACACACACACACACACACACACACACACCCCACTTGGCTGTTATCCTTCTCGAATAAATGCTATTATATTCTGGGACTTGCTTTTTCCCCTTAACAGGTTATAGAGACCTTTCCAGGACCATACTCATGACTCCATGTCATCGCTTTTAGGGCTCTGTCATGGTCTGTGGATAAGATGCCTGGTTTACTTCATTTTCCTGAGAATGGATTTCTGCGTTGCTGCCATGTTTTCCCTATTACAAATAATGCTCCAATAAGCCAGGCACAATGGCTCACGCCTATAGTCCCAGCACTTTGGGAGGATGGGGAAAGAAGATTGCCTGGGCCTGCGAGTTGGAGACCAGCACAGGCAACATGGTGAGACCTCATCTCTACAATAAATCAAAAAATAAGCCGGACGTGGTGGCACATGCCTGTAGTTACAGTTACTTGGAAGGCTGAGGCAGAAGGATCGCCTGAGTCCAGCAAGTCAAGGCTGTGAGCAGCGTGCCACTCACTCCAGACTCGGCGACAGAGTGACACTCTGACTCAAAAAAACCCCCCAAAAAAACAAATAATACTCAGTGAACATCCACATACATATAAACTTTGAGCACACCTCCAGGTGTTTCTGAAAGATCACTTCCTAGAAGCAGTGTTCCTGGGTCAAAAGCCATGCACAAAATGTTGAGAAATGCTTCCAGGTTGTTCCCAAGAAAGTTTATATTTTCACCAGCAAAGTTTAGGAACAATTTTGTTTACCCTGGCCTTTTTTTTTTTGAAGACATCACGCCAAGCTTGTTTTTTGATTTATTGTAGAGATGAGGTCTGTCATGTTCCCTAGGCTGGTCTTAAACCCCTTAGCTCAGGCAATCCTCTCGCCTTGGCCTCCCAAAGTGCTGAGATTACAGGTTTGAGCCACCACACCAGGCCTACGTTTTTTTGTTTTTTTTTTTGAGTTGGGGTGGGGGTCTCACTGTTGCCCAGGCTGCAGTACAGGGGCACAATCACGGCTCACTGTAGCCTTGACCTCCTGGGCTCGGGTAATCCTTCCACCTCAGCCTCCCGAGTAGCTGGGATTACAGATGTACAGTACCATGCCCAGCTAATTTTTTAACTTTTATTTTTATAGAGACGAGATCTTACTATGTTGCCCAGGTTGGTCTTGAACTCCTGGGCTCAAGTGATCCTCCAGCCTCAACCCTCAAAGTGCTGGGATTACAGGTGTGAGCCACTGCATCCAGCAACTTTTTAATTGTTGTCAATCTAATGAATGAAAAACAGCAACCTTTTGGTTAAATTTGCTTTTCCCTGATCAACAGTGAGATTTAACAACTTTCAGTATGTCTACTGGTCACCTGCCATTTCTTCTTCTGAGAACTGCCATGTTTTTAAATTTTTCTCTTGGGTTTCTCCATTCATTTCTAATTTGTAGTTGCTTTTTCCACATTATGTCCACTAGTCTATTGTCTTCTATAATAAATATTGCAAATTTTCTTCTCGTCTGTTGCCTTCCTTCCTTCCTTCCTTCGTTCCTTCCTTCGTTCCTTCCTTCCTTCCTTCCGGTCTCGCCAAGTTGCCCAGACTGGTCTCGAACCCCTGGGCTCAGGCAATCCTCTCACCTCCACCTCCCAAGTGCTGGGATTACAGGCGTAAGTCACTGGGCCCGGCTGCGTTGTTTGTCTTTTATCTTTATCTCCTGTATCTTTCATCATTTAGAGTTTTCATTCTTTATCTACTCAGATCTGTCCATCCTTTCCTATTTAGTTCTGGGTTTTCTGTAAGCTTTCTATCCCAAGGTTTTTAAACCATTCTCCTCTTATTTAATTCTCTTATTGATTTGCTTTTCATGTCTAATTCTTTAATTGCAATTGCTTTTTGTATATGGTATGAGGAGGATACTAAAGGTTTGTTGTCCCAAATACCTAGTCAGTCAACAAAATAGCATTTATTGTCTAGGAGAGTAACTTGGCAAGGAAACGCAACCTCCATGAAAGCAGGGCCTTGTCTGCTTTGTGTGCTGCTGTGACCCCCAGCGATAAGCATAAGCACAAAGCCTCTTATACAGCAGGTGCTTAGTCACTAATGCTAAATAAATGGACAACTGTCATGATGCTGTCATGACTTGAGACACCAAGTTCCTTTAACTCAGCAAATTTATCTTATAGAAAAAATATCCATAGATATGGATACATAAATATCCATAGATATGTTTGAAAGATCTTCAGTTCACTTCAGCCAGGCTCAGTGGCTCATGCCTGTAATCCCAGCACTTTGGGAGGCCAAGGGGAGAGGATTGCCTGAGCTCAGGGTTCAAGACCAGCCTGGTCAACTTGACGAGACCTCATATCTACAATAAACCAAAAAATTAGCTGAGTGTGGTGGCACACACCTGTAGTTCCAGCTACTTGAAAGGCTGAGGAGGAAGGCTCGTCTGAGCCCAGCAGGTCAAGGCTGTGGTGGCCATGAGCGTGCCACTGCACTTCAGCCCGGGCTACAATGACGCTGACTCAAAAAAAAAAAAAAAAATGTTCACTTCAATTTATAATTGCAAAATATAAGAAACAGCCTAAATGTTTAACAATAGGGGGCTGATTAAATGAATTATAACACATTCATACAATGGATATTATGCATGTATTAAAATGATAAAATAGGCCCGGTGCGGTGGCTCACGCCTATAATCCCAGCACTTTGGGAGGCCGAAGTGACAGGATTACCTGAGTCCACAGGTTCGAGGCCAGCCTGGGCAACTTGGCAAGACTCATCTCTACAATAAATCAAAAAATTAGCCAGGCATGGTGGTGTGTGCCTGTAGTTCCAGCTACTTGGAAGGCTGAGGCAGAAGGATCGCCTGAGCCCAGCAGGTTGAGGCTTTGGTGGCCAGGAGCATGCCACTGCACTCCAGCCTGGGTAATAGGGTAAAACTGATTCAAAAAAAGAAAACAAAGGAAGTGGTTACACCACAGGCCCATGGCAAACACTTGACTGTTCCATGGGACAGGAGAGGAGGGAAGGACAATGAGAAAGAATCTTGTAGCTGACATCTCTACACGCAGATCACCCCATAGGAGACTGAGTTTTTTCATTAGCTGTAAAATTGTTGTCATGAATGCACATTACAGGAACTGGCTCCTGATAGGTTGTGTCTCAGTGCAGTTGAGGAACTGAAAAGAAAATCATACCTGAGCTGGAAACAAATGATTCCTTGCAGGACCTTCCCCCTTCCCTAGTGGGCCAGACAAAGACTGTGTCTGTGGTCCTCAGACTTCAGTGAGTACCCACATCGCTTCGAGTGTCTGTTCATGGCACATATATTGGACCCCTCCAGCTTACACAAGTGTTTTAGCAAAAATCGCTATTTTTAAAAACCAAATTACATGCAAAACCCATTTCGGGGCCGGGTGTGATAGCTCAAGCCTGTCATCCCAGCACTTTGGGAGGCCAGGATGAGAGGATTGCCTGAGCACAGGGGTTCAAAACCAGCCTGAGCAACTTGGCGAGACCTCGTCTCCACAAGTTGCCCAGGCTGATGTCAAACCTGTGGGCTCAGGTAATCCTCTCACCTCAGCCTCCCAAAGTGCTGGGATTACAGGTGTGAGCCACCGGTGGTGCCCGGCCTACAATAAATTTTTTTTAAAAGTATCCAGGCTTAGTAGCATGCGTCTGTAGTTCCAGCTAATCGGAAGGCTGAGGCAGAAGGATCACCTGAGCTCAGCAGGTTAAGGCTGCAGTGACCATGAGCATGCCACTGCACTCCAGCCTGGGCAACAGAGTGAGACTCCAACTCAAAAAAAAAAAAATCCATTTCAGAAGTTTGGTTTTCTCACTCTGTCACCCAGACTAGAGTGCAGTGGCCGCTCCCAGCCACCGCAGCCTCGACCTGCTGGGCTCCGGCGATCTTTCCGTTTCAGCCTTCCAGGTAGCTGGAACTATAGGTGCGTGCTACCACGCCCGGCTAATTTTTTGATTTATTGTAGAGACGAGGTCTCGCCAAGTTGCCTAGGCAGGTCTCAACCCACGGGCTCAGGCAATCCACTCACCTCGGCCTCCCAAAGCGCTGGGATGACAGGCTGAGCCACCGAGCCCAGCCAGAAGTTTGGTATTTTAAGCCACCTAGAGCAAATCCTGTGACAAATCACCAGATAAAGTAATGAATAGTTCTAGAATAAAGCCATAAATAATTTTGGATTTCTAGTTACTTTTGTTTCTCAGAATAGGGCAAATTCTTAACTGTAAAGGTCGTACTTTTTAAAAAATGATACACAAACCATAAATAATACATTTGACTTCCCTTGGGATTGTGAATTTTTAATTTATTTATAATAATTATTGTGTACTTACCAAGAAATGCAGAGAAGTTTATCATAAATCCAAAAATACCACTCTCTGGAGGCGTTGTTCCTGTATCACTGGGAAAGAAATGTCCGAATTATTAAAAAGAAATTTTGTGCAGACCTCTGAGCGCCCATATAATTGGCAAGGTCTATATTGTGTTTATTGTGGGTGTTCAGCCACCTTGAATTCCAAAAATTTGACCTGATTTTATTTTCACTTTGGCTCTGAAAAATCTGAAAGGGCATAAGATGGTATCAATATGCCCAATGAGCAGCCATTTTAACATTGCTTAGTTTTGTCATGTTTTTCTAGCAGGTCACTTGAACTTGCCCTGTCATTACGAGCCAAGAACTGGTTTCTCAGAGGCAGCTATTGATAACTGTCTTACAACCCCTTCCCCAGCTTGTTCTGTAAACAAGTTAACCTAATCAGCTCTTCATGACATAGATTTCATCAACAACAGTCATGTGACTAGTTCATCCATCTGCCTACTTCCATCACCTGATGTCAATGCCTGGGCTTACCTGTCCCCTTCGTGATGATATGGAACAGACCACCACCCGGTCACCTGAACAATCTGTCTCCCACCAAAGGGAAGGTTTAAAACCATTCAACTTCAAGCAGTTATTTGCCACTGCTTTTGTTAAACTCTGCATAGGCTATGTGTTCATTGAGTTATGGCAGTCAGGGTCATTGCTTTGCTAAGCTGTGGTCTAGCTATATACTCTTTGAGCTCTGGTCAGGCCATGTTTTCCTAAGCCTTGGCCCCTCCCCTATCTTGGGGAGGTGAATCTCCTCTCTCTTTCTAATTTACTTTTTAAATAAACTATATATTCCAATCTAGCTTCGGGGCAATTCTTTGCATCTTTCCCATGGCACCAAATCGCAGACACTCCCCTGTGGTCTGACCTCACATTTTGAAAGCCCCTACTGGGATTTTTAACCTAACAAAACATAAAATTAATTTTTCTACCATAAGCAAGTACATTTAACTTTTTTCCATAGCAAAAAGCTAGGAAGTGCTTAAAATGAATGGTGTTGCTGCTTCTGAAATGATCAAATGCAATGAACTTGATATGTGTTCATTCTCAGTAAAGAATTGAATGTGACTATTTTGAAAGTAAATAATCTAAAATCACTTTTGAGGCTGAGCATGGTGACCCACGCCTGCAATCCTAGCACTTTGGGAGGCTGAGGCAGGAGGATTGCCTGTGCCCAGGGGTTCGAGACCGGCATGGACAACTTGGTGAGACCCTGTCTCTAGGATAAATAAAAAAATTAGCCAGGCATGGTGGCACGCACCTGTGGTTCCAGCTACTTGAAAAGCCGAGGTGGAAGGACCGCCTGAGCCCAGCAGGTCGAGGCTGCAGTGGCTGTGAGCGTGCCACTGTACTCCTGCCTGGGTGACAGTGATACTCAAACTCAAAAAATAAAATAAAATAAAATCGAGACCAAGTGTGATGGCTCACGCCTATAATCCCAGCAGTTTGGGAGGCCGAGGCGGGAAGACTGCTTGAGCGCAAGACCAGTCCAGGCAACATAGTGAAACCTCATCTCTTCAAAAACATCAAAAATTAGCTAGGTGTGGTAGCACATTCCTGTAATCCCAGCTATTTGGGAGGGCAGAAGCCAAGAGTTCAAGGGGGTAGAGGCTACTATGAGCTGTGATTGCGCCACTTAACTCCAGCCTGGGTGACAGAATGCGATCCCAATTCAAAAATAAAATAAAATAGGCTGTTTTGCGGTGGCTCACACCTCTAATCACAGTATTTTGAGAGGTAGAGGCGGAAGGATCACCTGAGCCCAGGAGTTCGAGTCGTGATTATGCCACTGCAGATTTCGGCTCAAAAATAAAATAAAATAAGTGTTTGAAAATTCTACTACTCAGATATTAAATACACATAAACACATCACTTTTAATTTTTTTTGATAACTGGACTTAAGCATAAGAGTTTATATTGCTGAAAATGTAATGATAAAAAGCTGAGCAATTGATCTCTATTAGTATTTTGTGGCAACAGTAGGGTATCAAGGGTATATTAAATCTGGTAAATATTATTTTTAGCCGGGCTCAGTGGCTCAGCCTGTAATCCCGCGCCTTTGGAAGGCTGAGGTGAGTGGATTGCCTGAGCCCGTGGGTTCGAGACCCGCCTGGGCAGCGAGACCTCATCTCTACAATAAATCAAAAAATCAGCTGGGCGTGGTAGCGCGTGCCTGTAATTCCGGCTACTCGGAAGGCTGAGGCAGAAGGATCTCCAGTCTGGGCGACCGAGTGAGACTCCACTAAAAAAAATAAAATAAAATAAAATATTACTTTAGCCAGGAATGGTGGCACACATCTGTAGTCCAAGCTACTGGGAAGGGAGAGGTGGGAGGATAGCTTGAACCCAGGAGTTCAAGGGTACAGTGAGCCATAATCACACCATTGCATTACAGCCTGGGCAACAGACCAAGACTCTATCTCTTAAAATAAATAAATATTTATTTATTTATTCATTCATTACAGGTGTGAGCCACCATGGCTCACACCTGGTCACGGTGGCTCACACCTGTAATCCCAGCACTTTGGGAGGTGCAGGCAAGAGGATTGCCTGAGTCCAGGGGTTTGAGACCAGCCTGGGCAACTTGGTGAGACCACATCTCCACAATAAATCAAACAATTAGCCAGGTGTAGTGGCATGTGCCTCTGGTTCCAGCTATTGAAATGCTGAGGCAGGAGGATTGCCTCGGCCTAACTGGTCAAGGTGTGGTGACCATGAGCAGGCCACTGCACTCGAGCCTGGGTGACAGAGTGAGACTCCTACTAAAAAAAAAAAAAGGGTGCAGTTTATCAATTAATTGAGTTGGAAAATGTTGTTTGACGTGTGCTATTTTACATTTTTCTCTTTTTTTCATTTTTACACTTCCAGACCACTCATATAGCAACCCTCCCAGTTTAAAACTGATGGCAAAAGAGCTCCCAACATGAAACAACTTATACCCGTTTGGGGTGTTTCCACATTTAAAAACAGCTCTGAAATTTAAGTAATGAAAAACTGATCTCATTGAAAAAGATGCACTTCAAGTGGTTTGAAGAATTCCACAAGAAGCCTGTGTGTGCAGAAAGGCAGAATTTTTACGTTTCGTGAACACAATATTTAAAGAGGAGTACACAACCACAACCCTAACCCTAACCCTAACCTGGCCCCTCACAACAAATGCCTTCATGCCCCGAGATCTCAGTCTCAGTGTCACACGTACCTGCAAGACCTGAAGCCTGGACCACCTTTTCCACAATAATCTTTTTCACCATGAAGGACCGTTGAGGTAGCAAATACCCTTCTGAGCTGCTGAATGGGCAGCAAGGAGGGAGGGAGACAGAGGCAGCTTGTCACCTTGGGCAGGACTTCTGTCTGACACTTAACTGCCAGGGAAATCAAGCCTTGCTGTCTCGGCCTCTAGGTGTAAAAAGGCAGCCAGCAGACGACCTGTCCTGAGTGCTCAGGCAACTGATGGGCACAGGGCGAGATATGCTGGGAGAAGGCTGTTGGCTTGTTTGTCGAGAAAGAAAAGTGGAAGGATGAGGAGGACATTGGGAAGGGAAGTGGTTGGGAGATGAAGGCTCTAATGGAAGGCCAGACTTGACATCTAGTCTATGACGGCCAAATCAGACTATGTCAAAGGCCCAGATACACAATGAAGGACAGAGCCCACAATGGTGTTTCCCTAGTCTCCTTGAGCTCACACGTGACAATAATTCTCTCCCGGAGCCCTGGGTGAGCCACAGAAATTAACATCTGCCGGCCGAGTGCCTCAAGCCTGTACTCCCAGCACTTTGAGAGGTCAAGGCGAGAGGATTGCCTGAGCTTGAGGGTTCGAGACCAGCCTGTGCAACTTGATGAGACCTCGTCTCTATAACAAATAAATAAATAGAGTAAGGTGGGCGTGGTAGTGCATGCCTGTAGTTCCAGCTACTTGGAAGGCTGAGGCGGAAGGATCACCAGAGCCCAGCAGGTCGAGGCTGCGGTGGCCGTGAGTGGCCACTGCACTCCAGTCTGGGCGACAAGAGTGAGACTCCATCTCAAAAAATAAAAATAAAAAATAAAAATAAATAAACCATACGGGTAGAACCCAGATCACTTTGCAGATAGCCATTCCATATGTATGTGTTGAGTGAATGACTATCAGCGCTGGCAGAAACAAAAAGAAAATGATCGGAGACCATGTGATGCACATTAAGTATGTACCAGGGACCGTGCTCACTGGACACATCACCCTCACCACCATGAAGGGAATTTACAGCAACCTCATTTACCAAGGAGGAAGCTGGGTATCAGAGGGGTTGAGCTGCTCATCAGGGAGCCCCTATCCCAGTCCAGATGTTCAACTCCCTGACTTTCAGTCTCCACTGTGCTGGCCAATGGGCAAAGTCACCAGAGAACAACCAGGAACATACACTGATTGGCTGGTCACTGCATCACTGCCAGCTGTGGGGGGGCAGCTTTGGAACATTTGCCAATTTCCCTGGTGAAAGCACTCCCAGTGGGTCAGAATTCAGGACATCAGAATACCGGTCATGGAACACGGAGCTGGGAGGAGACGCACTGGCAGGTCTCGCCTCAGAAGGAGCCCTTGGCCGGGCGTGGTGGCTCAAGCCTGTAATCCCAGCACTCTGAGAGGCCGAGACGGGAGGCTTACCTGAGCTCAGGGATTCAAGGCCAGTCTGGGCAACTTGGTAAGACCTCTTCTCTACAATAAATTTAAAAAAAAAAAAAGCGGCCGTGGTAGCATGCACCTATCATTCCAGTTGCTTGAAAGTCTGAGGCAGAAGGATCACCTGAGCCCAGAAGGTCGAGGCTGTGGTGGCCGTGAGCAGGCCACTGGGCTCCAGCCTGGGTGACAGAATGAGACTCCAACTCAAAAAAAGAAAAAAAGAGTCCTCATGGGGATGAGACGACATCATCGCACCTCTGTTGAAGACCAGGAAGGTGTGACCTAAGTGAGATCTCCAAAACTTCTCAGATACTGCAATTTAATTGTAAAGTCTCTTAACAGCATTGCCATGTGAATCTGGTTATTGTTCAGGACACTGACT